GGACGCACAGGCGCGAAACAAAAAGCAATACAATCAGGTAAGAATGTTAGATTTTGCCGATCAGCACCATATAAATGCAGGACCTGTGGTCTAATAAGGAGGTTGTTTAAACTGCCGACCTACAGACCGTACGTCGTACTTCCTCGCACCACGTTGGACATAGTTGTGCACGATTAGTCGTTGTGAGACGTCCAATGCAGTAGAGTTTAGCCCGTGACCCCGGCCTAGTTGAATGTCTCTAAGCTTCCTATACCTTTTACGGCAGGAGTAACAATCTGGCCTGTTAATCTGCCGTTCACCATGCTGGGAGATACATTTTGCCGTGGATGAATTATACTGTTGCTTGTGTAAAGTCATAGAAGGGTGAAAAAAGAGCCTTGTGGTTTGTGTGTCTTTCGAAGTCCTGAGATAAAAGACGCGCACACCAAGACAGGTACTGGTGTGTAGCGAAAGTCGTTACTCAGAGGTTCTGGATTCAAGACTAAATTTTTATTACAAGTCTCATACGTAGCGCAGGTTTTCCGGTCTTGTTCGGCATAAGAGCGCGACCTAAGGCCTCTAATTCAATTAAGAAGATTTATGCGCCGCACAAATGACGCCACCTTTGAAGTCGCGGTGCCATTTACGAAATCCAGCTACACATCCAAGGGCTATGGCGCCAAACGTTGCGCGAGAGATGAAAATCGCATGAGACGCGAGATATTTGGATTATAGGTTGTGGGGCTTCAGATCATTAACAGGTGAAATGACCTCCTATTCTACATTCGGACCGAAGACTTATTTTAGCCAAATTTTGCCACTGAACGGCTTCTGTTTGCAGCCGCTGTCATTTTATCAAAAAATGGTTAAGATGGTAGCAGAATCTTAAATATTCACCAGCTTTAACCTGAAATTCAAAGGTTAGGAAGAAGAAGCCTACAAAATAAAGAAAACATAAACAACCGATTGCTGTTGTCAAATATTCTACTGACTGTTCTTAGCTCGGATAGAAGGAAACCTTAGGAATGAAAATGAGAAAAATAATATTAACTGTTAACTGTTGCTTAATTACATACATAGCTATCCTTGAATGATTCGGATTTTGAACTGTGAATGGCAGGCAACTCTTTAGACAAAGTGGCTGTTTGTGGCAGTATAAGCTGTATGTCGTTCAAAAAACACATTATTCCATTGTGCGGGCAAAGAAATCACAAGGTGAAAACTGATCAATGGCTTGCTTGATCCGCGCAGTCAATGGTCTTAGTGACCGGAGAAATTATACGACAATTCTTATTCGATGCGCTCACCGACTCATGCAATGCAAATGGGTAAAGTCAGCAGAATTTACCATAGGAAAAGACTCAGGCAAACTGTGAAGTAAAGGTGATTAAGTTTAAATGTGTATCCAAACACAGTCATGACTCATACAGGCTGGGCCGAAAGGAAGTTCGCTAACGAAGTGGTAAGACAGGTGCAAGTACAAGAAAAAAATACTTCAGGTATAAGTTAAGTGAGGACGAATTCAGATAGTTCTAAGATTATGAACTAGCCTGATGCCAGAAATCGAACGGAGTCGGGATTGGAGATACCATCAAGTAATTCTCAGTTAAACCAGCTTTGTAAATTCAGATAATAGATATGAA